AAGGATGAGACTGTAAAAGTTTAGTTTTGGAAATCCTGTGGAGCAGAGTTCTACTCTGTCCTCCAGAGTTACTGTGAGTCAGAACCGACACAATGGCAGTGGGTTTGGCTCTGACCTACGATGGCTTCTCTTTTACTGATTCCTTTAACCTTCCTCCTACTTGCGCTACTCAAAACCCCCTCCTGGACGGCCCTGCGCTCTGGGTTAGCCAGGCTCCTTCGTTTCCTGGGCCACTCCCTCCCTGAACATTCCCACCTCCCTCCTTTCTGCTGATGCAGACAGAGCCTGCCAGCCTTTCTAGAACAACACAGAGCCTCAACAGATTCATGCATATGCTGGCCATTCGGTTTACACAGTTTCTAAAGTAATTATAGGAATCCTGGTGTGGCACTGTGGGTTAATGCACTAGACTGCAAAGTCGGTTTGAAATGCAAGGTTGGTGGTTCAAGCTCACCAGTTGCTCCTTGGAAACCCTCTACAGGGTCGCTATGGGTTGGAATGGACTCGACGGCACTTAACAACAAAGTAATTATAAAGACTATATACAGCCTTAGGTGGAAACAATGGGCTTTATGTTAATGAATTATAAATAAACACACACTATGTATATGATGACTAAAACTGTATTAAAAATTGTACACCTGAGGAAAGAAAAAGGCAGAAATAAAACGGTTCTTTTAGAGGAGTGGGAGTGGGATGGTCTGTGATTATTGTTCAAGTCTCTGTTACTTCACGTTTACTGTTTACTGTTACTGTAATTTTCTTTCTAATATAAATATTGTTTTGGAATTTAAAACACCCAGTTTTCTCAAACCCCTCTTCCCTCTCCCCTCCACCTCCTCCTTAATGCCTCCCTAACTCTGACCCACGGTGATCTTTCCTTCTTTGATTCCTACAGTACAAGTTTCTACCTTATTCCTTACAAAGCAGTGGGGAGACTAAAGCTGCTAGAGAGGGAAGGGGTAGGGTCTGGGGGTAGTCATCAGGTCTCCTGTTCTCTGGCCACCAGCCCTGGCCAGGTTCCTGGGTTTTCTCATCTGTAAAATGGTGAACATTCCTAGCTCCTTTGGTCACTGAGAAACTCCTGAGATAACAGAAGTAAGCCTAGGGCAATCAGAGTCACGACACAAATAGAGATATTCACACCCACATCACAATAGCACAAAGACGCAGCATCGGTGGAAGAAAGAATACACAAACTGGGTCCACACACAATGGAAAACTGCAGCATGAGACAATAATGGTGAGTCTGTGAAACATCTCATGACGTGGACGAACTTGGAGGACATTATGCTGAGTGAAATTAGTCCATCATAAAAGGCCTACTATTGTATCAGATTGCCATTGTAAAAAGTTTTCACGCTAAAAGAAATATTCTTTGGCAATTACCAGGGTTGGAAGAGGAAAAGAGGGTAAGTCACTGGCTAAAGGGCAGACTTGTCTTAACTTGGATGAAGGGGAAGGCAATATACTTTTGTTGTTAAGTGCTGTAGACTCAGTTCCAACCCTGTCTACGGTTTCCAAGGCTATACATATCTTTGCAGGAAAAGAAAGCCTTTTCTTTTCCTTGAACAGCTAACCTTGTGGTTCACAGTCCAGTGTTTATCCTAAAGAGCCACCTCATTCGCCTCCCCTCCCCATAAAAAAATATCTATATATCTATATAGTCCTGGTGTGCTGCTGTAGGATCAGCAGTTCAAACACACCAGGTGCTTCTTGGAAACCCTGTACAGGGTCATTATGAGTCGGAACCAATGCAATGGCACTTAACAACTACATGCGTGCAACATTCTGTAGATATGCCTACATGTTTTAGCACAAGACTGGGCTCATATTTACTCTGATGTCCTCATCATCACCCCTGTTCTCCAGGGGCCGGGAGTTGCGGAAGCCACTGAGACAGCTTGGGCTCTGGCAGCCCCAGTACAACGGAATGCAGTGTGACCCAGCTCTGCGCCATCCTCAGGATTGTTGGTGTGCCCTGGGCCTTCGGTGCAGTCCCTGCATATCTGGAGTGCCTTCCAGCACTATTTTGGACAATACTTTGTTACAATCCTTTCCTTGCTGCACAGAGGGTTTTCACTGGCTAATTTTCACTGGCCAGGACATTCTTTCTAGCCTTAGTCTGGAAGCTCCAATGAAACCATTTCACCATGGGTGACCCTGTGGCACTTGAAAGACCAGTGGAATATCCTCCAACATCATAGCAATATTCGAGCCACCACAGTGCAGTCAAAAGTGACTAGTGGCTTGGCATGCCAATACACTACACAATATACATGCACAATATACATGTAACTCCAATCTGGCAGTAGGTTTGAGGCCAATATCCTGTCCCTCTCAGAGTGGTCTGGCCCCAGGCCCCTCTCCCCTTGCTCTGTTGCACACACGCTCACTCTGCATGCAGGTACCCCAGGTGGGCAGGACCCTGCCCAGAGGAAACAGGACTCCAGACAAAGGAAATCTGAGACTCTCATAAGCAGAGAAGTGGGGCACTGGAGCATACGGTCAGCAGGCTCCTTCTCCAGGCCATTGGCCATGCCAATGCCTTATGGCCAGGTGGGGAGGCTCCTGATAAGAGGCTTGGGACATGGGGACATGGCAGAGAGAAGGACTGGCCTTGCCTGCATACTGTCAGGAGGGGCTTTGATCAAGGTACTTCTACGCAGGGCCCTCATCTGAAAGGTGGGGAGGATAAGATCGTCATTTTCCTCACAGGACTGTTTCCACAAGACAATGTGAGAATGGGCTTCCGAGCACACATGGTGGTGGTTACCGCTGTCTTTTGTCTGTCACTAAATGCTGTCTCCCCCGCCCTGCTCCACCCTCTAGCTTCCCAGCACCCACTGCCAGACCAGGCAAAACCAGAGAGGGAGATTCATTCCAGAGGGAGACCATCAACTCCAGGAGCCTCTCTGGAGGGGCTGCGTGGGAGGAGCTCAGAGAGCAGAGAGGGCCTTCTTCAGGCCCCCTGAATGGCATCCCACCACAGGGCCCCCTCTAGCTTCCCCTCTTCCCTCCTACCATGTACAACCGGCAGGAAGGGAACTGCGACCCCTGCCCGCCGGCCACCCTCAGTGGTTCTGAGGGCAGTGACTGGGGTAAGTGAGACTTTACCAGCCACTTCATGCCCCTGGATGGGACAGCTGGTAGGGGAGACTCCCTCCCTCCCATGACATAGGAAGGTTGCTGGATGGGGCTGGGGCTGCGGGGAGGGACTGCGCCTCTGGGGAGAACCTCACAGCCCCCCTAGAGGCTTCTGACTCAGAGCTGCCCCTCACAGGCTTGGTGAACCTGCAGCAGGAAGGAGTGTGTTCCTCTAGTGCCATCTCCCAGCATTTAACCTAGCAGGACGCTTAAACACCAAAACAGTTCCTCTGCCATCCTTTCCGCTCTGCCGCCCACCACCGAGCTTCCTCCCCTCCCCCACCACCATCTGTTCCTGACTCCAAGACGGATGATGGGCGGCATGAATGGCTGGCCAGAGTGGGAGCAGGGACGAGACAGAGCTGGAAGCCCAGGTGGGGTGAACGGTGAAGGCTCCAGAATCCGTGTTCCCCAGGGGCTGGGGTCCACAGTGCACAGTGAGCTGGCGTCCAGGCCACCCTATTTAACTCCTTACATTCCACAGCCACCAAATGGCACAGGTAGGGTGGCAGCCAGTTGTTGCTCCTGGCTGTGGTCTCCTGGGACTGCTCTGGTAGCCCTGATGTGGAGGTAGAGCCCCCATCCCTGCAGAAAGTAGGTTCCCGGAACTCAACTTAGAGAGCTCTTTCTCATCAGCCCCCACTTCCTAATGAAGGACTGGCAGTATGGTTACTTAGCAACACTGTCTCCCCAGCAACAGTGCAGAGGAGCAGGCTATAGGTCCCCCAGCATCAGAAATGGGGGGGGGCGATGCAAGGCAGATGGCCACCCTCCCCCCTCTTCCCCACCAATGGTTCCATCCTCCCTGTTCAAACACTGGAGCCTGAGACAGGTGTGGGGAGTGGGAGGCTCACATGGATCCCCAAGGGGTAATGCCATCAAAGACACCTGCTGAGAGCCAGAGACCAAATTGCAATCTCAACAAGGCATCAGAGGAGGAGCCCAAGCTATGAAAGAGCAGAGATCACGACTGGAGCAACTGCTAAGAAGCCCAGAGCTCCTAATGCCAGTGACCCAAACCCAGTGTGGAGCAGTTTGCTGTTGCTGATTTCCTGGTCACAGAATCCACTCCCAGGCCAGGCCACTCATGTGGGTAGCTCCATGCCAATGTCCCCCAACCCTAAGCCCATGTCCTCCTGAAGGGTAATGAATAACAGCCACCCTTAAAGCAGGACACATGCTTCAGAGACGCAGGTTTCAACAAGGCCCCTTTCTCCACACACATTTGCACAGGAAGGCAGCTGAGGCATGCCTGCACTAGGACTGGCCTCTAGCACAGAGAAACCTTCAAACCCAATGAACTCCCAACACAGATGACTAAGTCCCAGTGCAATCCACACAACAAGTCAGAGAGCAGCCCTCAGGCGCCTAGCTGGGCTCTAATCCATTCCAGATGAATGGTGAATGCTTGGGGCCTATGCCTCATTCTTCATCCCATGCCTATGGCAGACACTGCTCACCAAGTACAGCAGTTTTCTCTCCTGCTTCTGGACACAGCCTCAGAATCTTTCTCAAGACAGTGTTCAAGAAAAACATCGCCAATCAGCCAGGCAGATAGATGAAAACAAAGGAAGCTGCCATCCCTTTAGTCCACGCATCAGGAGTGCAGATGAGCCACATGGCCAGGCACACACACCTGGGTGCAGGCCCACGTGAGTCTCTAGGCCATCTTGGGGAACTTTTCTCTGATTTGAGAAAATGCTTGGGGCTTTAAACCAAAGACACAGGAAAGAGGCCAAGCACATTTCTAAGCAGATGGGGGATACCAAAGAAGAGCCCTCTCTCTTAACTGGCACCATGTCCTCCCAGTGCTCCAGCCTCATGTCGGTGCCCTGGCTGCACCTGGACCTCACCTGGATCTGCCCTTTGCCCATGATCTTGTCCACAATCTCGTTGTTGTCCTTGTTGACCTTGGTCTTATCATAGCACTTTTCATAGCACAGGATCCGCAGGGACTGAGAACCCTCCAGCTCGATCTCAAACTCCTGCAGAAAGATGAGGACCCTGAGTCTCTGAGATGGCAATAATGGCTTCCTGGGCTGAGCAGGAAGGGACTGTGAGGACCATCTACAAGACCAAGAGGAGCATCCACATTTTCTGAACTCCCAGATGCCTCCAATCACTGATACAGTGCAGTTCCATGTCTGCCCTGGATCGACATGAATACTGTCACTGGAAGCCAGATGAGCAAGGAGTGGAGGGCACTGGGGTTGGAGGGACGGGGCTGGCCTAACTAGTAGGTTGGGTCACCCTTAGTGGGCAGGGCATGAGCATAGGAAGGGATAGGCACAGTCAGTAACATGCTCAGGGGTCCCGGGGGGACAACCAAGTCCCTGCACTCACCTCATCCCACTTGGGCTCTGTCGTGTCCCGGAACACTCGGGTTTTGGCTTTGCTGACAAAATAGCCGAAGGAATCCACCTCTAGGGTACAGTATAGATCTGCCGGAGGAAAGGCAGGCGAGTGAGGTCCAGAGGCTCAGGAAGGAAGAGGATAGCTAACTGTCCTTTCCGACATCCCCACGAGACAGCGTCTTAGCATTCTCCTCCCCACAGCCCTGAGTGTTTGTGTCCCTCCCCACCTCATTCTCTACTCTCCAGCTTCCCTGGCCTGTTCCCACCCTGCCCCCAACCTCGGCTTGGCGGCATCCTCCCTGCTAAGGCCTCATCTCCTGACCCTCACTGACCCAGGGCAACAAGGAACTTCTTGCCTGCTGTCCTCTAGTGGGGGGAAGTGGGGAGGTCTCAGCATGGTGTCACTGTCATTTGAGGTGGAAGTCACTAGAGAGCATTTAGCAAGCCTGGCCTCTGGGCTGAGTAGCCCTGATCAGATCACTGTGTTAATCAGAAATGCCCTCCACATTCCCAAGCTCCCTTCTGGCTTGTTTATAGTAGGTTGCTTTCAATGACATTCTTCTGTGTGTGTGTGTGTGTGTGTGTGTGTGTGTGTATTGTCTCTCTTCCCTGCACTATACTATGGACACTGTGCAGACAGCAACATTGCTTTTCTTGTCCATGGGAGTATCCTCTGAGCAGAAAGAAGTGCTTGGCACACAGTGTGGGTGAGTGAAGGGAGCTCTCATCACTGCCGGAAGAGCTTCAGGTAACACAGTGGTGCAGGTGGGTGGTGGTGGTGGGGGGGTTTCCCTACTATCTCCATCCCGAACTACAACCTTTAAGGCTGAATATCTTCTCTTCTATACCCTGAGACCTCACTGATGGGTCACAGCACTGGGTGGTCATCGCGGGCACTCTGCAAGTCTACACACTCCCTCTGGGACTCAGACTCTGCTGCCCCCATCTCTAGGGAACTGCCAACATTGTTACCAGGGTAATGGACTGAGAGGTGGCCTTGAGGCAATGCAGATGGCCCTCCTCAGCATGATTCAAGGGGAAGAGGGGGCAGAGGTCATCGGGCAGATGTAAGAATCAGGCCCAGGAATCACCTGGCTCCCACCCTATAGCTGAGATGCTCTGAGTGGAGCTGACCTGAGGAGTCTCTAGTGGGGTGCAACAGAAAGGAGACAGCTGGGTATTTAAACCAGGGATGTGGGCACGGGTGAGCAGTGCCAGAGGGCCAAAGCTCCCCCCTCGGCCAGAGCATGACATGGGTCTGTGAGTTTGGGAGAAGGCGGAGAACCATGGGGTCATTGTTTACTTATCTTGATGTGAGTGAACCTCCCATCGGGCTTTGGGGTAGCTCATGGGATATGAAGTCTTTGGAGTCACACTATCCAGGTTCAAATTCTGGTTCTGCTGCCTCCTTGCCAGGGAACTTGGGCAAATCACATAACTTCTCTATAAAACCCTACGCTGACAGCAGCTTCAATGAGTGTCCTAAGATGAGAAGGCATGGACTTGACCCCTGAGTCACAATGGACTCCTGAGAGGGTCAGGGACTTTGGCTGGGAGGAGAGCAGATGACCAGGGTCAATGGGAAGCTTTCCACCCATTTTTAACCAGCTGACCCAGTGTGGGAGATGGAACACCTGCTCTGGGGAAGTGGGATGTTCCCTAGGCTTGCTTCCTGAGGGCTGTCCCCAACCAACCAGAAGCAGGGGAAGAAAAGAGGGATGAGACATTCAGCAAATGGAGATGGGGGCACCTAGCCCCATTAGGTGGGCCACAGACTTAGGTGTGTGTAACAACAGCCCTCATGAACTTAACCAGCCAGATTCCCAGGCATTCTCGCCACCTTCCCAAGAAGGGGATTCTGTGGGTCTGAGGAGGGCCCAGGTTGCGTCTATGCTCTGCTTGCAGGCACCCTCTCCCTACTCCTCCACCCCCACACACAGAAGGATCAGTGCAGGTGGTCCTGACCAGACTTTCCAAAGGGAAGAAAGAGCTTGGGTGTTGGAAGACATGAGTTTGAGGTCTATTTCACCACCTGTGTGACTCTAAGAAAATCACTTTGAGTCCTGTGAACCTCGGTGTTCTCGAGTGTGAAATGGGAATGATAACAGTGACCTCAGAGAGATGCTAAGGGGACCAGAGAAGATAATGAACCTGAAAAGGCTTTGAATATGCCAAAGCTCAGGCCACACACACGCTGCCCATGTTCCCATTTTCTCCCACACCCTGCAGGCCCTCTATAAATGAACGACTTCACCCAACAATCCCAAGTCCCAGAATATGCAAGGATAAAGGAGACATGGTCCCGCCCTCAGAGAACTCACAGTATGGGAGACAATTTTTAAATGGTAGCACAGCACAATAGGTGCGGTATCTGCAGTCTGCGCAGTTGTGATGGGGAGGTTGGTTTAATCCCGGAACTAAGGGAGGCTTCCCATAAATGTTTACTGAATGACTATGGCCCAATGGCATAAGGTCTCAGTACGCTGCAAGGAGAGAGGTCAAGGGCTGACCTCACTCTCAAACCAAAAGAAGGGAGTGGGGTGGGCAGGCTGAGAGAAGAGGAGTCAGAAGTACTCGGTTTTCTCATCCAGTCAACAGGTAGAAACTGTTAGCTGTCTAACCTCCTCATAAATTCCTCTGTGCATAAAAAGTAGACAATAATGATATCACATTTTGTGAAAATTAAAATTTGTACAGATTTCAAAGACTCAAAGAAACAATTCTCCAGAGGACTAAAGAAACACATGAACGACAGTCTCCACTCGCCTGAGACCAGAACTCCATGCCCAGCTACCGCTACAGACTATGATAAAAAGTTCAAAAACAAATGTATACAGGTTTAGGAGAGAGGCTGAAGAAGGGAGAAAAAGGGATGCTAGAGTAACACATGATCACCCTGAAACCAGCCCTAAAAGGTATGACTCTGCCTTTTACAGAGGAGGCAGCTGAGGTTCAGACAGGTTAGAAGACTTGTAGGTAGGTGATGGGGACTTGGGAGTACAGACACCTGTAAGTGGGGGATGGCTGGGAAGTGAGCAGACTTGAACACAGTAAATAAGGAAGTCATTCCCTCCCCTCCCTCCCAAGAGGACCTGTTTCCTGGCCTTTGGGAGACTGTCCCATATCTAGAGGCACACTAGCAGGACTCAGGCCTGGGAAGAGCAGCGCAGGTAGAACCAAACAATACATCCACGGGAACTTTCTTATAAAGGGATAAAAACTGAGGGGCCCACCCACCCTCTCGCCAGAGCTGGTGGTCAGGGGTACTTACGGGCTGACTGTTTAAAGCCCTTGGCAGAGTGGACGATGACATGAAGAAAGCCATAGAGTCCCGGAGACTCATCATCTGCAAGATGGAAAAAAGGCCCCAGGGTAGAGGTTAGTGAGGGACTCTTTTAGGCTCCATCCCCATCTCCAGCCCTGGTTGGTGGAGGCAGATAGTCTGACAGCACCACCTGGTGGACAGATTTTAAATTTCCCAAAGCCAATTGTTTCCTGGAATAGGAGCCATGTGTACATAGTGGTTACTGGTGCCCCTTCTCCAAAGCACTCAGCCTGCTGCAAGGCCAGCCCACACCTGTCCTCCTGGACCAGGGACTTCATCTTGTTCCCTAGGGAGACTTTCCCGGCCCCTGACAATCCCTTTACTGCCTGGCTGGCCGCCTTGTCTAATCTTCCATAGAAAATCAGCCATAAGAGAACTCTCTATGCTAATACAAGATAGTCAACCCTGTTCTGTCCCTTGCTTGGTGCGCAGAGACTCTATAGACCTCCATATGCCAGGGAGAGCTTGCCTTCAAGACCCCTCCTAGCACCCATGGGCAACTGTGGACCAGTTATCAGCTCGAGTCACAGCTCTCCTGCGCTCCACGGCTGACCTCAACAACCCCAAACCCTGGAAGCATGTGGCCCTATTTCTCACCCATCCACCCTCACCCCATGGCCCCATCCTATGAAAGTGAAAGGCTTCCATCATGTGACTACCTTATGACACGAACAACAGGATCCTAATGTACCGGGATGTGTCTTCTAAGCCAGAGAGGGTCAGGTGGGGGCTCAAATCTCTCTGGAAGAATGACCCCCTATACCAGCTCTCCCCATACCTGACAATAACTGAGCAGCCCCAGCCCAGCTAAGCAGAGATTATCCATTTGCAGTCAGTGACTTATTGGGTCCTTAGGAAAGGCCCCAGCAAGGCCCTAGGGGATCTTACCATCTTTATTGCTGGTGACAGGAATGTTGTGGACAGTCCTAAGTTTGAAGCAGGACCCTGTGAGCACCTGGAGTTCCACTGAGCTCAGAACAAAGGCCTGAAGATCTGCAGAGGGAGCCAAGAGCAGGGGAACATCAACATAGGGTCAGTAGGACCTGCCACTCCTCTGTGGGGGCTGCTACGGAATTCTGGAGTGGCGCTGTGGGACCTTAAGGTCAGCAGTTCAAACACCAGTGGCTCCTTGGGAACCCTATACAGGGTCACTGAGTTGTAACTGACTCAGTGGCACTGAAAAACCACCACCAAAGGACAACAGCTTAGTTCCAGGGAAGGTGAGACTTGTGAATACTGTCAGGGGAGCGAGGGTAGGTAGATTAGTCAAGTGTGAGTCTAAGAGGAACTGAAGAAGCTCATGTGTGTGTCCAGTCCTACTGCTAAGTCATTGCAGGCCTTAAGGAAGACTCTTAAATATCTTGTGATGGGCAACATCAATTAAGTGTCACCTGCCCTGACACCTTACAGGTAATTATGAGTACTGAATAGTGAATGATGATTATGAGCATGCTTAGAAATGCAAAGGCCCATGTTGCCATCCCCCCACCCCTGCCCCCCATGTAGAACAGAGTGGGGCAGGCTTTACCTTTCTTCTGTAGTTTCTGAATTGCTTCTCTCCACTCTGACCTCTCATAGTCCGAGGACAGTAAGAACAGGTAGCTCTAAGAAACGAGATAAGAGTTTAGAGGGGTGACTGTGGTCAAGCCAAACATATTCCCTCCCACCCTCAACACAGCTACTTTTCATCTGGTCATCTCTAGGCTTAGAGAAGGAGGCAGCTGGGAGGAAGTCTCCTTCCCCTGGGGAAGTGGGTGACAGAAATGGCAGTTCCAGCCAGCGGGGGACGGGGGAAGGATACACCCAGAGCCGGAGCCATGGCAGCCACCTTGGGAAGTCCACTTCCCAGGAGTCCACCAAGGCCATAATTCAATCAGTGGGCAGTCCTGAATCAAAGAAAGTCCTTTGTCCCACCCTACGGTTTCTGACCTTTCCATTCCGATTGTGGATCCGAAACGGGATTGTAGGGGAATTGAGCAGCAGCAAGAACTCATTCTCAAACATCTTCTTCTTCAGGCGCTCGATGGCCCGGCTCTGTCCTTTATTGGCTTTCTGCAGGGGATGAAGGGCACAGAGGGTTCTCTAACTCCGACTCCACTGCTCACTTGTCAGATCTAAGCTCAACACTCTCCTGCTAGCAGCCCCAGGGCCTGGACGGGCATACTGGGTTTCCAGAGGCTGAGTCCCAGTCTCATGGTACTATTCTTCCCTGGCAGGGTACCATGCTTTGCCAACTTTCCAAGTATTTATTTTTTCATATACATATATATGTGGATTATAAGTCGGAACTGACTCCACAGTACTTAACAACAACAACAACAACAACAACAAATATATGTGGAGGAGGAGCCCTGGTGGCATAATGGATAGTGCATGTTGGGCTGTTAACCACAAGGTCAGCAGTTTGTATCCACCAGGTGGAGAAAGAAAGCTTTCTTTTCCCATAAAGATTTGCAGCCTCGGATACTCTATATAGCAGAACTGGGAAATCTTTTTTTCTGCTAAAATTTATAACACTATTCATGGGCCATACAAAGTTATCAACTTAAAAATTAGCCTGCTATATTTGGTCAAACATTTAATGCACTCACCCCTAATGTGATGGCAAAGCCCTTTGAACTGCAAGGTTGGCAGTTCAAGCTCACCAGCTGCTCCTCAGAAACCTTATACAGGGTCGCTATGGGTTGGAATCAACTCGACGGTATTTCACAACAACAGCAAGATGATGGCTAGAATTGGTTGCCTTGGCAGGGCCAGATCAAATGATTTTGCGGACCTTATATGAACCCTCGGGCTGGATGTTCCCCGCCCCTACTATACAGGATTGATATGAATCAGAACCAACTTGACAGCACATGACAGTAGCATATATGAGGGAGTTCAAAAAGTCTGTGGAGAATGGAATGAAAAGATGGGACTTGTTTTAAAGTGCCCTCTTCTACATAACAAGGTATCTGTCATTTCAACCATTTTTATGGCATAATTCAGTGCCATTCATTACATTCACCATGTTGTACAACAATCGGTTTCCAAAGTTTTCACTTATTGTTAAGTGCTGTCGAGTTGGTTCCAACTCCTAGCTACTCTGCTGGTGGGTTTGAACTGCTGATCTTGCAGTTTTGAACTAGCCTTGTGGTCCAGTACTTATCCTACAGTGCCACACCAGGACTCCAATTTCTCACTACCCTTAACAAAAACTCAGTATTGCTTGAGCAACACCCATTTCATCTATCCCTCCTACCTGCCCCTAACCAAAAACAAAACAAAACAAACCCAAGGCCATTGAGTCGATTCCAGAGTAAAACTATTCCTTAGGGTTTCTGAGACGAAATCTTTATAGGAGACAGCATAATCGTTCTCCCTCACATAAGCTGGTGAGTTTGAACTCCCAACCTTGTGGTTAGCAGTCCAACACCTTAACTCCCGGCACCTCCAGGGTCCCTGATAGCCACTAATAAAACTTTGGTCTCTATGCAATGTGCCTAATCTGGATATTTTATTTAAGTGGAAACATACAACGCTCGTCCTTTTGGGCCTGACAACTTTTGCTCAGCACAGTATTTTCAAAGTTTTCAACACCCATGTTACAGAACATCAGAACTGCATCTTTTATGTTGCATAATAATCCAGTATATAAAAGATTCCACATTTTCTCTATCCATGTGTCGATGGACTCTTGAGTTGTTTTCCCTACTAACGACTGTATGGAGCCCTGGTGGCACAGAGAGCTAAGAACTGGTCTGCTAACCACAAGATCATCAGTTCAAACCTACCCAGCTGCTCCTCAGGAGAGATGAAACTTTCTGCTCCTATAAAGATTTCCAGCCTCAGAGACTATGAACAGTTCTCCTCTGCTCTCTAGGCTCACTATGAATAGGACCGGACTCCACAGCAGCAGTAAGGTGGGCTGGCCACTGTGAACAGTGCTGCTACGAACACGGGTACACCAGGATCTGTTTGAATCCCTCTTTCAGTTCTTTTGGGTATATATTCCAAGGAGAAGAACTGCTAGGTCAAAGTCAAGTTTACATTTATTTGATAAAGAACCCCTCCTCCCTGTCATTAGTGACTATTATCCTGCCTGCCTCAATTCTGACGGCACCTGTCAGCTTCTCGGTTAGAATTCATCTCTGCAGCAGGTTTCACTCACGACACCGAAAAAAATGGAAACAATTGCTCATAGTCAATGTTGTGACAGTGTGTGTGTGTGTGTGTGTGTGTGTGTGTGTGTGTAGTCACTTTCATCCACTGCTGGGGAAACATAACCTGATGCAACCTTTTCCAGCCTGGCAATTGAATGCACAAAACTTCTACCCGAGCTGTCCCACTGGTAGGGAATCTATTACTAAGACAGGAGCACAGTGATGCTTACTGGAGACTGGCTTGTTGGGAGCAAAGAACCAGAAACAATCTAAATATCCAAATATGCTATTATGTAGTCAAGCAAGAGAATAAGACGCACTGTCAAAAAGAATCAACTCAGTCCAGAGGATACTCGGGTGCCCTGTTAAGTGACAGCTTTAAAGTGCCCTTTTAAGTGACAAAACCGCATATATAGCTCTCATTATTTTGAAAGTAAATATATATGCACCCTAGAGTCCTGGTGTGGCACTATGTAGGATAAACACTGGACTGATAACCACAAGGCTGGTGGTTCAAACCTGCCAGCCACTCCTTGGAAACCTTGTACAGGGTGGCTATGAGTCAGAACTGACTCGATGGTATTTAGCAACAACATATACACCCTGGTGTTACAATGGGTTATGTATCTGGCTACTAACTGCAAGTTCGGCGGTTCACACCCACCAGCTACTCCAAAGGAGCAGAATGAGGCTGTCTGCTTCCTCTGTGACTTGCAGAATGACTTCTACATCTCTCCAGTGGCTGTTCCCATGTGCCATGATGCTATGGGTCAGTAACAACACTGTCTGCTATCTCCACAGGACCAGGAACACCAGAGGCATCTGGTACACCCCTTGCAGCTCAGCAAACACTGAGGTGGATGAACAGAAGGCCACGGCTACACATGTAAGGCAGGATAACTGGCCTTCTGCTGGGCACAAAGCCTGCCTGCCTCCAGGACCGAGAAACAAGAAGGTAGCATGTCTCAGGCAGTGAGGTGGGGACAGGGGACAGACAGAGAAACAGGCTCAACTGAGACAGGTGGGGTCGTGACCTGGTCAGAGAGCTGTCTCTGGACAGATACTCCCCCAGTCAGACCCTCTGTCCAAGGGATGTCCCCTGGCCCAAACACCCCTGTGCTTACAATGTGATCCTCCTCTTCTTGGGGAAAGATGTTCTCTCTGAGTTGAAAGGAATTTTTCAAAGCCATCTAGTCATTTATTTTTCACCAACTGTTTACTAAGTATCTGTTAATTACGTGCTAAGTACCAGGAATATCTGTTGTTGTTGTTAAGTGCTCATGTAGGCTTTCCAAGGAGTTGGTGGTGGGTGTGAACCACCGACCTTGTGGTTAGTGGCCCAGTGCTTCTCCTACAGCCACTCCAGAGACATAGAACTGAAAGACAAACAGCTCACTCATTGGAGTTCACATGGCACTGGGGAAGAGAGTAAGCAGAACATGTAACTGTAAATCAATATCATTAAAGCTAGGAGTCCTGGTGTGGCGCTGTGGGATAAAGCACTGGACCAACAAGGTTGGTTTGAACCACAAGGTCAGTGGTTCAAATTCACCAGCCACTCCTTGGAAACCCTATCAAGGATTGGCTATGAGTCAGAATCGACTCGGCAGCACTTAACAACAATCATTAAAGCTGGGGCCCTAGTGACACAGAGGTCAAAATGCTTTACTGCTAACCAAAGGTTGGAGGTTCAAACCCACCAACCACTCTATGGAGAAAGATGAGGCAGTCTGCTTCCGTAAGGATATACAGTCTTAGAAACCCTATGGGGTAGTTCTACTCTCTCCTTTATGGTCGCTAAGAATTGGAATCAATTTCACCATGGTGGGTTTGATTTTGGTATCATTAAAGCAAAATCAGGGGCAAACAGAGAACCCAGGAAAGGACAACCAACTCGGACTAGGAAGAAAGAGGTGTCAGGAAAGATTTCCTAAGAGCAGTCAGACTGGACCGTGACAGCCAAGTCTAGACAATGAGGAAGAGAGAGACCCAGACAAACCCAGCCCTCCACTCCACTCACAGGGAGGGCGCCTCCTGGGGTGTCCCACTGCCATTATTTCAAATATACTAGTTTAGGGCTGGAGTCCTGCTGTGGCTCTGTGGGTTAATGCTCCAGACTGCAAAGCCATTTGCACTGCAAGGTTGGCAGTTCAAGCTCACCAGCCACTCCTCGGAAACCCTATATGAGGTTGCTATGGGTCGGAACTGACTTGATGGCACTTAACAACAACAATAATTTAAGGCTACACAATTTCCACTTACGGGTGGTAGCCCGTAAGTTTTGATATCTAGTGCTTTCATTTCATGCCATTCTGAAACAGTCTGCAGCGTCCACGTTCATTTCCTTTCTAATGTGAAAGTTCCTTTTTCGGGAGTATCATTACTACATATTACAGTTGCTGATCTCTACTTTCATTGCACTGTGCTATGTGAACATGACCAGTATACTATCAATTTTTGGAAAAATACAAAACAAAAGCCACTGAGCTTTTCTTTGTGGTTTAATACCTGATAAAGCTTTGTGACTGTTCTGTGTATGTTTGATGAGAATGTCAACTCTCTGTCGGGCATAAGCTTCTAAATATTTTTAGATTGAGCATGTTAAGTATAAATTCAAGTCCCCTCCCAACTTTCTTTGACCACTCAATATGACAGCTTCTGAGAGGCCTCCTGGGTCCTTTTCTTTCGACTATGTCCCATTTTTCTACAAGAAGGCCTTCTTTCTCTCTTGCTCCTCTTTTCCACAGTATTCATATGAGGCTGTTCTCCAGGAAACTTGCCATAATTAACCCCTCCCTGCACCTGCTCAATGCGGATCTTCCTCCCTTGAGCACATTAACACTTGAGGCCTTCCATTCCTGCATCCTGTCTCCCTCACCAGACTCCCAAACTTTACCTCTTCACCTCCCCTTCCCTCTCCACACACCCAGGCCAAAGGGATACAGTCAAAACAGCCCAACTCTTGTCCCAGGCTCAGATGCCAGGCTCCACTCACCTCTTTCTGGATTTCACTTTTGAAAGTAGAAATCTTCATTTTCATGTCCTCCAGCTCGTGGTCTGGAAAGGGGTGTACCTGGGGACTGGCCTCAGACTCTTCAGGGGATGGAAACACGAGGTCGGCCAGGGGAATGTACCATTTACAGTCATATTGCTGGTGCTTCCTACAAAACAGCCGGAGAGCGACATGAGCCCAAGGGAACTTGGCTCTTCAAGCCTATACGCCGAGCTCGAAGTCATCTGAAAGGAATTTACTGAGTCTGTCACAGGCAAGAGCAGTCCTTGTCCTTGGGGAGCCAGATTAGGGCCTATACCGATAGAGTCATGGCATTCAACCACAATGCCAGATGACCCAGAACTACACTGCAGCAGGGTCAGAGAGCAGGTGCTGTTGGAATTCTGAGAAGGGTCCAACTCAAGACTTAAAGATGTCCTGAAACAGAACATCAAGCAGATTCTAGTCATGGCCATTGGCCTTGCCAGTCTTCTGGCCCAGTAGGAGTGATGTCTTTAAATATCCCAAACCACTTGGGTATTGGCAATAGTGAAGACATCTTGGTTGGGTTTACTCTTTCCCAAGTTCCTAACCCATACCCTTCAGTTCCTTCTAGCCGATCTATACTTAAGCTCACACGGATCATCCTTTATGCTAGACACAAAATACAGGTGCTACTCTGAATGTCACCTCTGATCAGTAGAGGTCATATTGAGTACTGGGTTGAGGATTACAAAGCTGCAGCCAAATCCAGAAGAAAAGAGTGCTGTGGTTGATTATTAATGTCTGCCATGGGCAAAGGACTGAAGGCAGAGATAGGCATGATTACTACTGCCACCTCTGCTTTGAACTTCTCTCAAATCTGACCTAGCTCCAGGGAGTCATCTCTTTATTGTAGCTCCTAATAATCTCTCTTTCTTTGACTGTCCTCAGGACTTCCATTTGGATCTTCCATCCTGGCCCCTGAATGTGGCACCGGGCAGATGGCATGTCTCCTCCTATACTGTACGCTAGTGAACCTGACATGTAGGTGGTAGAGTATGAATGAATTTGAGAGGTACAGAGGAGGCTCACTGGGATGGAGGTGGAAAGGAACTTTCAAGTGAGATAAAACCCACTGCCACTGAGTCCATTCCAACTCTTAGTGACCCTGTAGGCCAGAACAGAAATGCTCCCCAGAGTTTCTGAAATGAAATCTTTACAAGAGCAGATAGTCTGGGTCTTTCTCCTGAGGTGTGGTTGGTGGGTTTGAACTACAACCTTGAGGTTAGCTACCAGGCACTTAACTCAGCACACCACCAGGGCTCCACGTAGGGTTCAAATCCCATTTTGTGCACTTCTAGCTGTGTGACCTTGGGCAATGTATTTAACTTCTCTAAGATTTTCCTCTCATCTCTGAGATGGAGATAACCATACCTACGTTGTGGAGTTCTTGGGAAGCTTAGAAATTATGCATTAAAAGCATTTTTCATGGCACCTGGCATGGGATATGCACTCAATAAATGGTAGCGGGAAATTTAATGAATATTCACAGAATTGCAGTTAGCAAAAATTTAGAGATGTTTAATAAAAGGAGAATGCTTAAGTAAATTATTGCATACCCACTTGTGATATCATGCAGTAAAGTGAAAAGATGATTATGAAGATTAGGCCACAAAGGAGAAAATGTTTATGACGTGCAATGGAAAAAGTAGAGCCCCAAATTGGGTATTCACTCTGATTACAACTCTCTGATAAAATCATAAGAACCTTCAAAGAACTGGAAGGAACGAGAGCAGCAGGATACTGAGGCTTATGTTCAGGAAGATGGTGTTTGATGTGATGTGATTATATTATCGTTATAATATTGTTTATTTTGTAAAAAAAAAAAAAAGGCTATATAGTGAAATAAAATTTATCAATTTTTTTTTTGGAAAAGAAAACAAAGATACAGACTGCCTCAGGTTGCTGAGGGGCTATCCAAGGGGCAGGGCTCCTGGGCTCCCACATACTCACCCCGCAGATGTCTTCTTTAGCTTGGCGCACAGTAGTACATCTGTAAAGAGGAATACATGCCGCAGCTTCCGGGAGCTCTCTGACACCTCCACCAGGAAACCATCCTTCACCAGCTGCCGCGTCTGAGGGAGATGCAGACCCACCCCAGCCTGCTCAGAGGGACATGCAGCCCAGGGAACCCATCCAGCTGGGGAGGGATGAAGAAAGGGACCGTGTTGCCTGGTGGTTAAGAGCATTCATTGGCTTCAGAGTCACACGAACCTGGCTTTGAGTCTAGGCTCTCCCACTTCTCAGCTGTGATCTCAGGCAAGTTCCCTTACCTCTCTGTAGTTCAGATTTACATCGTCTGTAAAATGGGGATGATGATGTCTGCCCTGAGATGCTATAGATCCACGTGATATGTGATCAAGACATGGCAGCTTCATGCTTTCCTGTAGCTCCCACCTGGCCTGGATCTGCCACCATGAAATCTGTCCAAGATCTTTCCAGTGGAATCTAAGAAGTCGATCCAGTTTCAACTCCTGCATCTCCACTGAGGTCTGTTTATGCTACAGAGAGTGTGCTCTCTACCCACCCCCAGCTTTGTGGGGAGCCCTGGGCTGCTACTCTCAGTGGAGCTGGAGCAGTGTCCTGGGGAAACCGGCAGTCACCTGTGCTCTGGAGAGTCAAGAATGTTCTGCTCCATGGGGACCTTCCAGAGTTCTCTTCCAGTGGGCTTCTCTGCAGCTATCACTGTGCCCGCCTTCTCTGTACACACCCCATACCGCATGCTTCCTGTACCATAAACTGTGTAGCCTACAGATCCTGCACTATGGAGGTGGGCTTCTATAGCAAACCGTTAAGGTGACCTGAAAGTGATGGCGCTCTGAGCCCTCCGTAGGGTTTTCAGCTATCCCCAGAGTAAAACACTAGTGACATTCTAGGGTGTTGCAAGCAGGGCTGAGACTACACACAGAGATGGCTCTCCATGCCTCATGAGCCACTCTCCAGGCCTGTCCCTCAGTACTTCCCTCCATAGGAGGCACTGGAGCCTCGCAAATGTGACAAAGAAGCAGAAAGCCAGCCACCTTCACTCCTAAACACCACTTAATGATCTCTATTGTATCTGGGCCAGACTGTTGACTCCCTGTGACTCAACTGTCCCTCTGAGTCTTCATACTGTCCCCCTCATTGGGGTGTCTCCCACCTTTCCACCAAGAAGTGTACCTAGGGAACTGGAGCTGAGGCATCCCAGCAACCTGGGGGGCCCTGGCCTCCTTCAGCATCAGCCTTTCCCACTGGTGGGCCCACTCTCCAGTTCCCACCCACCTGCCTGCTCAGAGGTGACCTCTGCAGACTCAGACAGAGCCACTGTCTCCCAAAGGTCCATGAGGGTATCATAGTAGCCAAAAGGGGCTGTTTGCGTCAAGAATGAAGTCCTCAAAATCCCCAGTAAACTGGTATGCTAGACAATGTATGGGGCCTGCAGGCAGGTATCCGCAGGTGAAGAATCCATCTGACACCTGGGGCTGAGACACCTAACATCACCAGGCCTCAGTTTCATCTGCTGCTTCACTGGATTATGATAAGGACTGAAGAGACCCTAGGCTGAAAGCTCTCATCCCAAGGCAACTGCAGACTGAAGCCCTCTCCTTGGCAGGGAAAACCCTGGCTGGTGGGGGATCAGGGGTATAGGGCACAGGCACTGATGTCTGTGAAAGTGGGTAGGTAGGGGTCTCATCCATTGTCATGCCTCATATCGGCCCTAGGAGCGGTGGGTACAGGGCTGTGCTGGAGTCTAAGCTCACCTCGCCCTTGGGGGTCGTAACTGCGGTCCGGCGGGGGTCAATGTCCTCGTTGATGCTGGACAGGAAGTTCTGGGAGATGCGGAGAGCATCCTGGAGGAGTGGGTAGTCTGGGTGGTCCACGGGTGTATGCTTCAGCAGGTCCTGGGAAGGGTGGGGTGTGAATTGGGGGGCATAGTTCTGAGGTGACAGTGGGATATGGGTCCACCACCACTGAAGGAATTCCCAGGAGGCACTCAGGGACCCAACACGTTCATATGGTCATGCCTGTAAAGTCTGCAAAGGCACGGGAGTCCACACAGTGGGCAAGGGCAGTGTCCCTTTGTCCCGGCTGCCATCTTTAGTCTTCTCCCTGGGGCAGGGGAGCCAGGGGGAGCCTCATCTCACCAAGCAGCTGGGGAGAGACACCCCTGCCCCCACCCCACAGCTGCTTCAAGGCCAGAGGAGACCACGAAGCAGAGGCTGAAGAGGCAGGAAGTGCCTGCCTCCTAGGGAGTATTTGGACAAATGTCAAGCCTGGAAGTCAAGCTATATTTAGGCCCTGGCCTTGTTGGCATGGTTACTGCAGACCAGGAGGATGTAGCCAGGGACCCTCTGTCCATCTCTCCACAAGGGCTGTTCTCAATGAGCATCCTCACATCCTGGGCCCAGTCTCACACTCAACTCATAATCCCTCCCTGGCCAGTGGGGGCTTGGTACTCACATGTAGGACCAGAGTACTCCGCGTGACCCGGTCAATGGGCTTGTAGAGCAGGGCTGTTGGGGAAGCAGAGAGAAGATGCGGCGGAATGCAACAGGAGCAACTTCAGACTTGAGACCAGCTGTATTCTCCTCCCCTCTGCTTTGTTCCTCCACACCAACTCCCACTGGCAAGAAGCCAAAGTGGGCCCCCAGCCCCATTCACCTCCACATTCACCCCAGGGCAGACCAGACAACATGGGACAGACAGACTGACTTGTAGCCTCCCTTGCCCATGCTTCTTCCTCACATTGCTTGGAGGACAGCTCTCAGGCCCAGGCTGGCCTGGCTCACAGCAGGTATCCCTGGACCCCACCCCTCCTGCAGGGCTCCAGCACATCTGGGGTCAAAGGCAGGACCCCAGACTGAGGAAAGGACCTGTGGTTTTCTAGGATGGCAGCTTTCCCTGCCTGATGGTGCTCACACCTCGCCTGTCCCAGGCCTGGCACTACCTGCTTTGTTCAGCTCCATGGGAAGACCCTTTTACATTCCCTCCAACCCCTAGACCAGGATGGGCTGGGGGTCAAGGAAGCTGGCTAGGTCCCCACAGAAAGGCTCTGTTCTCAAGCAGGTGGCAGCCCAGGAGGGCAATGCTTTCCTGAAGAAAGTCAGGTCAGGACTCCTGTGTGGTTGTCCTGGTGAAGCTGGGAAAAGCCAACCTCAACTCGCCACACTCCTCTGTGACCTCTGCAACCCGGACACCAAGTGAAGACGGCTGGGACTCAGCAAGGGCAGGTGGAGACGGCAGCTGGCAGGTCAACACTTCCAAAAATCCTTCCCTGCAAGCAGCTGTGCCGGCTCCCTCTCCACATGAGGGGTCAGCGTCAGTCCTGCACCTGGATGCTCCTTTGCATGGCATCATGACCTCTGGTCTCCTGCCCCAGGAGCCGTAAGGGACAGGATGCTGGTTTGAGGAGGAGGAGGATATTGGAGTGGGTGCCCCATAGGATCATGTTGTAACAGGTGCCCAGAGCCAACATACATGCCCCCCAAGCAGAGTTCCCGCAGCCTTGGATATAAATACCCCATATGTTGCTAAGCAGACACCTCAGGGAACAATGTGCTTGCTCCAGAGAAGAGGATGCTCTCAGTGGTGTGCCACGGGGCCTTCTCTGGAGTCTTTACTTGGCTGTCCGTTAGAATTGTTGGGAGAGCTGTTTTCAAAAGAGACATCTGCCTGTCCCTCCAGCCCCATCCACTAAATCCAGATTGCTGGGGGGGGGGGGGGACCTGGGTATCAGCATATTTAAAGACTCTCCCCAAGAGTAAGAAGCCCTGGTGGTCCAGTGGACTAAGCACCAGGCTCCTTGAGAGGAAGATGAGGCTGTCTGCTCCCCTAAAGATGAACAGCCTCAGAAATCGTATAGAGCAGTTCCACTCTGCCCTGTAGGTCCCGATGAGTTGGAATCAACTCAATGGCAGAATGCTCGTTCCCTATGGGTTATGGGGGCTTGGATGGAGAGGTGGTAGGGCCAGGCTTGGGGTGTCCAGATAGAGTGAGAACAAAGTCCAGCTACCAGCCTAGAGAAGATCCCACCTGTGGCTCAGTCCACCTTCTGGGAAACACACCCAGAGAAGCCTGGAGCCCAGCGGAGAGGGTGAGTTCAGCAGACACCTTCAGGGTGGGCTGGAGCCCCAGCCCCAGGGAATGCAGACACTGCACGGTCAGCCCTTCTTCTCTCCATCCCAGGAGGAAGCGGTTTCTGACTAATCTGAGGTCTGCACAAACGGCGCCTTAGGTTTCAGGAGGTTATTAAAACGCCTGCAGTTACTAGTAGCGTCCACCTGCCTGGGGCCGTGGAATGTGTGCTGCAGTCATGGCTGAGGGGAGGAGGACAGCTGGGGGCAGAGGGAAGTGCAGGGAGAGAGCCCAAGGGCTCAGTTCTGAACCCACAAACACAGTCACAAATACAGGAAACCAGGGGATGAACAGCAAGCCCAATGGGGGTGCTTCCCATAGGCCCAGTTCCCTGCTGCTCCTGGGAAGTCAGAATGAGGAGAGCCCTCCACCGGGAACCTTTTTCAGGGCTCTGGCAGGTCCACCCACCTCCACACTCTCCTCTCAGCCCTCATTATGCTGTTTCTGTTCTGCAAGATCTATCTCTCCCCTTCCTCCAGGAAGTCTCCCCTGACCAGGAACCTTTACAAATAGCACAGACCCCATATAAAAGTCAGACCACAGACAGAAAGCCAGCTGGCCCCTATCTTGTTCACTGGGTACTTCCTCTGTGCCCAATGGTACTGTGCTAACTGCCACATGTGCATTAACTGTGGGGGTTAAACATGGATTCTCATCAGCTCCACTTCATAGATGTGGTAATTGAGGCACAAAGATGTTATGTTGCTTGCTCACAATCACTTGGAGCCATCTTCCTCCCACAAGCGTATAGTGAACCTCAGGAGACAGAGGGGGCCACAGCCTCCTCAGTGAGGTCCCCACAGACCTGGCTTGAGTCCTTCAGGGGAATGCTCAATAAGCACCAGACAGGTGGCTCCAAAGTGAGCTTCAGGGGCCCCCGGACGACCCCTTCAGAATGCTGAGAGGACTCTCATCACTGTGGACCAACAGAGGGTCATTCACTCCCTACTTTGAGGCTGACTTCCTTGGCAATGCTGCAAGAACCAAAGATATCCTCAGCTCTAGACTCCAGACCTGTCTCACTAAGACCCAAGCTTCCTTTGTGGAGAGAAGAGGAAATCAAGAGTCCACCCTGTTTCCTTTTTAGGGAGGTGGAGTTGAGAGTTGGCTGACTCCTAAGCCAAACTAAACCCAGCATTTCCCCTCTGGTCTTCAGACAGGCCAATGTCAAGTCCAGCCCTCCTTCTGACACTGGGCCGTTAGAATCTGAGCCACGGTCAGTGGTCAGACAAGCTGCTGTCCTGCTAAGAGCTGAGAGGGGCAGGAGAGAAGGGCTGCCTCAGGGGTTACCTCAGTCACCAAGGGTCTTGGACAGACACAGGGTGACCTGAGAAGATCAGAGGCAACAGGTCACACACAGTGACCTTTGAGAGACAACCTCCATCATCTTTCCCCCATAAAGCTGCCCCTCCCCTCAATCCAGCCTTCCCCAGGGAGCTCAGGGTTACCACGGAGATAAGAGCAAAATCACTGAGAAGAGTGCAGAGGCAACATGCCTGGTGGAAGGGAAGAAGAAGGCCCCAGAACCAGCTGCTTGCCACTCCAATCAACAGGGGCCCAGAGTAACTGGCCTGCAGGCAACACCTGTCCCTCACAGCCCTGCCAAAGGCAGCTGGAGTCACCCCTAGGGCCCTTCCTGGCTCACAGAGCAGGACCCACCAGCTCCCAGGTAGCACCCTGCCCAGGCCTACTCCAGCCCCTATCAGCTGACCCGGCTGACCCAGCTGATATCAGTGCACCTGCCCCAGAAGCCCCCAGTTGAGAGAGCAGCAAGGAGGATGTGCTGGTCCCTTCCATAGTCAGTGGGTGTGTGACCTTCACAAAGCAACAGTCGGCCACACCCCCTCTCCCTCTAGCTACCGCAGCCGCGGTCAGCCTTCTCCTAATGCCAAGTCCTCAGCTTCTCCGGCTGCATGCAGCTCAAGGGTCCTCCACGGCTGGAGACAACCCTCCCTGGAGTAGCCCAAGCTTCCTGCTCTCCCAGCCGCATCCATGTTCTCCTGCTGCTGACGATCTGGATCCGATGGGATTGAGAAAAGAGGATGTAGCATGTACGCTCCGCCCACAATACCCTGGCCACGCAACCTCCTCTCCTCTCTCTGGGAACAAAGAAACTCACAACTTCTCCCTCCAGCCTGGACTGGTACCTACTCGGTTTAGGGTGCTGCTGTCCAAACCATCTGAAACTCTCTGACTGGCCACTACTGACCCTTCACTGTGGCCCCAGGGTTACCATGTCTGCAGGTACAGTCCGGAGGACACTTTCTCTGTAACACCTTCTCCAGGAAGTCAGCCAAACCTCCCCAGCTACCCTCCACTTGCCCACAGACTCTCGGGGATACCTGGCTCTTTTTAACCTTGTCCTTCCATTTCAGCATCATGCTGCCCTCAGTAGCCCCCAGACTCTTCGAGTCCAGGCTGCAAGCTGGCTAGGATGAGGACAGACACAAATCCAGCCACTTCTCAACTCTCCCTTCCCTACTTGTCCCCCAAACCTTGACAGCCACATTTAAGCCCACTCCGGCCAGCTCCAGGAGGCGGGGAAGACCCCCATCTCTCCGAGCAGGGACCGGGGTTACCATAGGTGCAGTTACAGCAGAAGCGAATGATGAGGAGGATTTCCATGGCAGCCTGCGTGCCCTCGGCAGGAGCGTGCAGCCATCACTCCCAGCTCCCGGCCACTCAGCCACCTTGCCGGCTGCTGCACAGCCTTCAGAATCGAGCCGCCGCTTCGAGTGCTCTTCCAGCAAGTGGGAGGGGGAGGGGAACGCAAGTGGGGAGGCGGGAGGAGGGAGGAGGAAGGAGGAGGGGAGTAGAGCGAGGAGCCTGCTGGCATCCTAAGGAGGAGCACGTTTGTAGCTGGCCGGCTGCCTGGGGACATAAGAGGCTGGATTCCTCGCATGCACGCGCATACACACAATCACACACACACTCTCTCTCTCACCAGTAGGGAGGGAGGGCACTGTGTTCACACACACAGTCCACAAAGCCAGAAAGACAAAGGTGACTGCTACGCAGCCCATTCCCCAAAGTACCTTCCATGGTGACCGACGTGTGGCTGTCCTTGGAGTCCTTGGGACCTTTCACTTTGAGTTCCTGCCAAAGGGAAGAGAGGTGTCACTACCTGGTGTCCACCTCCCACACCCCACTTGGAACACCAAGGTGAGAGATAAAGAACAAATAGACACAGGTCTCCCATGGTCTCCCCATCGGCTGTTCCCGTGCCCTCACAATATTGTCCTGCAGACTCGTGGACTACAGGGCCAGGGTGTGGGCAAGGAGGAGGGGACTCAAGGTGCTGAAGTCACAACAGGTTGTGAGAGATGACTGAGAAAATGGGGGGTTCCTCAGATCCATCCTCTAAAGGTCCTTGCCACCAGCACTAAGGGTCTTCAGAGAATGAGCGGTGGCAAGAACAGGTCTGCACCTCCCTGCCTGCCTCCAGCAGCCACCATTCAGGGATCCAGACATATCAGCACCAAGCAGACAGGGTTTGAGGCCACAAATACCAGGTGTACCAAACCAGCTGAGCCTTGGGCAATGGGCAACCCTGGAGATCAAGATCAAGTGGTCCTGCATACCTGCAGGGGGTGGGGGTGGGATAAAGGGAGATAGGGGAGAGATACTCCACAGAAGTCCAAACTACATCACCCTCATACCCAGTGCAATCAAGTCAATTCTGACTTTCTGCCTCATGATAACCCTGTATTTTCCAGAGCAGAACTGCTTCATTGAGTTTTCTTGGCTATATCTTTACGGAAGCTGATCGATCGCCAGGTCTTTCTTCCGCATTACTGCTGAGTGGGTTTGAACTACCAATCTTTAGGTTAATAGTTGAGTGCAACAACCAGGGACCTGCAATGAGGAGGCAGTCTCCAGCTCATCTGACACTCCCCACCCACTGGTGCCTGTACTGGGCCCAAGAGAAGAAACATAGGGAAGGACGAGCCAACACTCGAAGCCCCAGGCAAAGTGACCCTGTAGTAAGATAAACAGGAGCCCTGGTAGGTTAAATGTTTGGTGGCTCAGTAAAAGGTTGGCAGCTCAAATCCACCAGTCACTCAGAGGCAGGATTTGCAGTCTCAGGGAGGGCATATCTGATCAAAATCTTTTTTTTTTTGTAGCTTTAGAGCAAGAGGCTCCAGCCCAGCCCTGGCTGGCAGGACAGTATGCCTGTAACAGGGGCTGTAATGTAATCCCTTCAGCTCAGTGCCAGGGGCCTCGAGTGAGGGTGGTAGGCAGAGGGCAAGCAAGGGGCAAGGTGAGGACAAGGTCAGGTACCAGGTGATGAAGCTTGCTTTGCCTGGAGGGGAGGAAATGCCCAGGCAGCAGGACTCCCACATTTCCTCCTCCTGCTGTTTCTAGATAGAGAAAACCCTACAGGGACAGGGATAGGGGAGCATGGGCTCGTGGGTGCTGCCGGGAGGGTTCAGCTCCTGGTGCCTGGATAGCTAGCTGTAGGGGTTTTTCAGCACACCCTCCCTCCAGTGCAGTCCAGAGGTATGAAATCACTCCTCTGCAGTGGAGAAGGGCCTAATTGCAGTAATTAAGTGGCAGCGCCAGCAGGAAGCACCAGCTAGCTACAGTGTCAGCTCATGAGGCAGGGTGAGAAGCCACCTGGCAGGAGGCCCTGGTTGGGCTCTGCCCTTGCAAGTGGCTGGAGCTGGCTAACCGGGTTCTGAGTCTACATGGGCAGAAGCAGCCTGTGCAGGGCCATTCTGAACACGAATCAGAGTCCAGGCTGCTCCTAGGGGGCTGAGCACCATTCCTCCAGCCAACTGATACCACACAGAGGGACTTCCTCAACCCTCCCCACTCAGCCACTCCAGTCTACCTGGACTTAGAGGGGCAGGTGATGTTACCATGGAATCATGTCTCTGTGGCTTTCTCGTACCTGCTGGAAATGAAATAACCCAACTCCCACTGCCCTCGAGTCAATTCCAACTCACATCGGCACTACAGGATTGCTCCCTGAGGTTTCTGAGGCTGTGCAGACTGTCTCATTATTCTCCTGTGAAGTGGCTTGTGGGTTCGAACTACCAACCTTTAGGTTAACAGCCCAACATTTACCCCACTATGCTATTGGGGTTCCTTGGAAGCTGAACACACGTGTTGAACTCTGGAGGTGAACTGTGAGCAAGCCCAGTGTGGCAATAGATGCAAATGCAAGCCCAGTGTGGCAATAGATCCAAACCAGTTTTGACTAGTAATAAGGCTGACACTTGGATTTTCTGAGCTGCCTCGTGGTTGGTTCTAGACTCGGTCATAACTTGTGAGCCCAGTCGTTTCAGGAAAATTTGTCCTGCATCTGACCAATTTTCTAGCATTAGAGCTGATAGGGGGAAATTCAAGGATCACTAGGGTCCGCTGTTAGGCCAGGCTGGAAAACTCTAGGAGGAGCTCCTTCTCCCAGATCCAGAGGTTCTCCTGCCCGAGTTTGGAGCTGGGTACTGGGACTGCAAGGTCAGTAGCTTAGGGGTGTCACTGGGATTTTATTTCTGGATAAGAAGGGAAGTGGGACTATGCTCCTGCAGGACCCTAGAGCAGCTCTGCCCTTGCTGTCACTTTCTAGACAGATGTGTCTGTGGCAGATAATGCCACACATCTGTTCTACAGCGGAGCATACAAACCCAGAACTAAACCCACTGCCCCTGAGTTAATTCCGACTCATAGTGGCCCACAGGACAGAGGAGGACTGCTCCACAGGGTTTCTGAGACTGCAAATTGTTCTGGGAGCAGATAGCCTCATCTTTTTCCCATCCTATGGAGCAGCTGCTAAGTTTGAGCTGTCAACCATGAGATTTGCAGCCCCATGCTTAGCCTACAATGCCACCAGGGCTCCCTATAGAGGAACATGGAGGGAAGCTTAGCTGCTGCAGTAGAGACAGGCATGTTTGCAACCCCACAAGAGAGGTGCTCCTGATTTGTGGGATTGCAGGATCCTAGGATCAGCAAGGATCTTAAAGGACTAACTAACCCTAAACTTTCTCAAATTTTCCTGATCATAAAAATTTCTTGGTTGAAAATACAGATTCTTTGGACCTTCTGAATTAGAAATTGAGGGAAAGTGCCTGGAAAACTGCATTTTAAACCCATGCCCTTGGTGATTCTATCAAGCAAGTCTTAGGATGACCAGTCCAGATTCTATAGAAGAGGAAACAAAGGCCAAGAGAAGTGACTTTCTCAAGGTCACCACAGCATGAAAGAATTCTGCCTTTAATTTTGTCTCCCCTGTTCCTCTCTAACCTAAAATAGAATTAAAAAAAAAAAAATCAATATTCTTACATTAGGAGGTAAAATGTCAGGTGCAAGAAAGCAAATGTCAGGCCAGGTGTTACCAATTAGGAGAACCACTTCCCTAACTGGCGACAAGGGGAGTGGCCCAAATGCTGAAAAGTTCTCAACCACCCCCAAGCCTAGCATCCTTTGTTGGCGGTGGCTGTGTGAGGGATCTGCCCACCTCTGAGATCTTCTGGAACTGGTTGTTGGACTGGCTGCACTTTTCAGCTGTCTCCAGAGCGACTTTATAGTTATCCACAAACGCTTTGTACACACCAAGCTGGCTGGCCTGCGGGGAAGAAATAGGGAATGGAGAGAGGGAAGGGTGGGAAAGGGATGGGGAGAGAGGATTAATGAATGGATGGAGGCTTAACCACAACACCTGGAACTCCCTCAGAGCTCAGAACCTCTAACTCAGAACCAAAGAGGTAGGTGGGAATAGAAGGGGAAAGGCAGAGATGTATATATTAGAGTATCCCTTTGAACTTGGCAGTTTCTATGGAAACAGGCTCAGCCAATAAGGTTAACCAGGGGGTAGTGGGGAGGGTGTGCAGCACAGGGCCTTTGTTGGCACGCTAGAGATTCAACAGCATTCGACTTTATTTACATTGTCAAGATCTCGCAGGGTTTGAAGCCCCTTAATACCTCACACTTCCTTCATGTCCTGGAATTAGCTGGAGTGGGGCGAGACCGAGAGACAGTTGAGAGGTGGGCATGTGTGGCTTGCTCAGCCCTGGAATCTCCAAGGTCGGGGGTAGGGGGGCATACAGCATTTAAGGGCACAGCCTCCACCTCCCTGGCCCTCCAGAGAGCCAAAGTTCCTGCCTCACTACACATCTGCACATCACTAGGAACCAGTTGGACTCCTGGTGTAGCGCTGTAGGATCAGCACTGGACTGTAGACCACAATGTCGGTGGTTAAGACCCATCAGCTGCTCCTCAGAAATCTTATACAGGGTTTCTATGAGTCAGAACCTACTCAACGGCACTTAATTAAAATTCAACAACAACAAAGCTTCTCATATACAATCATGCGGGGCGCCCCACCTCACCTGGCCTCCACAGAGCTCACCATGCCTTTCTGCAAAGAGGAAAATGAGACCATTAATCCAGTTCCTCAAATATTTATGGAAAACTTGCTCTGGGCTGGGCATATGCATTTCCTCTTACAGGAGCCAAGGGTGGAAATTCAAATTAAAAACCACAATGACATACCATTTCACACACATCAGAATGGTCAATATTTAAAAGTCTAAGGAGTTCTGGTAGCATGTTGTTAAGTGTCATCAAGTTGGTTCTGACCCATAGTGACCCCAAGAAGTGGCTGGTGAGCTTGAACCGCCGAGCTTGCTGTTCAAATGGCATTAACCCACAGCACCACACCAGGACTCCTCATAGTAGTTACAAAATGGGCTGTTAATCTCACACTACCAGTGGTTCTGTGGGAGAAAGATGAGGCTTTCTGCTCCCGTAACGATTTATAGCCTCAGTAACCCACAAAGTCAGTGGTTCAAACCTGCCAGCCTTTCCTTGGAAACCCTTTGCAGGGTCACTATGAGTCAGAACCGATTCCCAGGCACACCACCACCAATGATACCAAGGGTCAGCACAAAGGAAACTACAAGCATTTACAACTGCTTGTGATGGTGTCAATTAGTACAGTCACCTGGAAAGCAAGTGGCAGTAACTAAGAGAGCTGACCACCAGCCATCTGCAGGTTTATGGTAGTAGGTGTGTTGCTCAAAACTATGTCACTGGTATTTCAAATCCCATCAGAACCACCCATGGTGGACAGGTTTCAGCAGGGCTTTCAGACTAAGATAAGAAAGCCTGATGATTTACTTCACAACAGAACATTCTCTGACTAGTTTGCTCTGGACACATTATTCAAAACCCAACCCAAGCCATTGCCACTGAGTTCATTCTAATAGTGATCCTATAGGACAGGATAGAAGTGTCCCCTTAGCGTTTCCAAGGCTGTAAATCTTTACAGAAACAGACTACCACATCTTTCTCCCATGGAGCATCTGGTGGGTTTGAACCACTGATCTTCTGATTAGCAGCCAAGTGCTTAGCCACGGTGCTACTAAGGCACCTTGGAAACATCACTGTTGTTTCTGTTAAGTACCATCACGTTTGTTCCAACTCACAGCAGCCCTGTATAGGGTTTCCAAGGAGAGGCTGGTGGGTTTGAACTGCTGACCTTGTGGTTGGATCAGGCCGGTGCTTATTTACGGCACCGTTCCAGGACAGGATCAATTACTGAAAGATGACCTCATGTTTGGTGAAGGAGAGGGCCAGTGATGGATGATGAGGTATGGACTGGCACACAGCTGCAACGATAGACTTGAACATGCCTGTGATTATGAGGATGACGAAGGACGAGGCAACACTGGGAACTGCTGCACATAAGGTTGCCCCCAGTCACAGTCAATTCCATGGAAGTTAGTTAGCTAGCTTCCTCACAGAGCTGAAAATATGCATGGCAAATCCACTTCGGCATACAAATCCTAGACCTGTACAGTCCAATACAGTAGCCAGTGGCCCACAGGTTGCTACTGAGCACCTGAAAAATGGCTGCTCTGATTTAAGATATGCTGTGAATGGATGAAACACCCAGTGGGATGAAACACTCCGTGTGAAAAAGGAGAGGCTAAGCAGCTCCTTAATAATTTAAAAAATACTTATTACGTATTGAAATGATCATATTTAGCTCCATTGGGGTAAACAAAGTATACTCAAATTAATTTCACCTGTTTACTTTTCCTTTTCTTTCCTTTTTTTTTAACATTTCAAATTATATCTGTGACTCACATTATGTTTCATTGGCTAGCGCTGCTCTACAGAAACACACATACAGGCCCAAACAGACTCTTCCTCATAGCGGACAAAGCAGAAACAAATGATCCCCAACAAGGAAACCCACACAATGTGCACAGCAGTCAAGATGAATGAGCTGAGTAAGCCTGGAGCAGCTGAGTAAGCACGATTCAAAACAAATGCGCAAAATATGTAAAATATGAAACAAATAAATACACATATATACGTTTTTTTAAGTACATGCAATGTCATAAAAGGATCTAGATATGTAGTAAAAACACAATCTGCAGCCCAGAAGGCTCCACACCAAATTGATTCCAGTAGCTGCTTCTTGGAAAGAGAGTAGAGCAGAGACACCGACATCTTCCTCTGTCACGTTTTATTTCCTCAATTGAGGAAAGTGTTGCCAGATATTTTCGGGTGGCAGTTGTGTGTCGTGGAGTTGGTTCCGACTCATAGCGACTCTGTATAGGGTTTCTGAGGCTATAAATCTTTACAGGAGCAGAAAGCCTCATCTTATTCCCAGGGAGCAGGTGGTAGATTCGAACTGCTGACCTTCCAGTTAGCAGCCCAACTCGTAACCCCCTAACGCTACCAGGGCTCCATTTTTCTGAGCTTGTTGTTAAGTGCCATAAAGTAAGTTCTGACACATAGTGACCCTGTATAGAAGTTTCTGAGTAACAGATGGTGGGTTTGAACTGCCGACCTTGTGGTTAGCAGTCCAGTGCTTATTCTACAGAACCACACCAGGAGTAGGAAGTAAGCACACAGTTTGTTTGCTACATTATTCTCTAGATTTTCTGGTCTACATTTTTTCCCCAGTGAAGTAGCATGGGAGTTGTTTTAGCTGCTGGCGGGCTTCCGTTTCCCACGAAGGTACTGGGGAAGGTGAGCTGTCCCTAAGCGCCCTTCTTCAGACCACTCTGCTTTCTGAAGAATCCTTGTGCTGAGTCCTCTAGGAGCTGTAGGGGAGGCAAGAAGGGAACCACAGCATCAGCTGGGCATGGTAAAACCTGAGGCAGCTGGCAGGAGGCCTAGTGAACCAGAGAGGAGAAGGAAGATGCTTGGGGACAAAAGGGTGCAGATCTCAGACTCAGAGGGCCCAGACTTTTCACAAAGGAAAATCCTGGGAGAGGAGGGGCAGGAAGGGATGGGGCTGGTTTCCTCTTCCAGGGGGAATACAGGCCCATCAGTGCCCTCAAGTTACCGGAGATTTGCAGGATAGTCACTTCCTGAACCAAAGTAAAAATCATGGTTATTCTTCCATGAAATGACTCTCCCTGTGCTGTCCGTACGGGAAGGATAAAGCCTGGGTGCACAGGTGGGGACACAACCCACCTATCCCATGCCTAAGGGAGCAGCGGCAGGTGAGCCCAGAAGCAGGGACCACATGGGCAGAAGGCGTGTGTGCAGGTCTCATGGGCCATCCCAGTCACTGCCATCTCCAAGGTGCACCCCCGGCTGCAGCCCATCGTTGGCCAGAGTTGTTAACTGGGGAAGTGCAGGTTGCTTGGAAACAGCAGCTTGGCACTGGGGTGACCTCATCAAACAAGTAGCAGAGATGCTAATTCTCTTCTGTCAGGAATGAATAATCAAATATCCTTAGACTTCAGCTGAAAATAAACTGCCTGCAGATGCCTGGCCTGCCCAACTCCACCCAGCCCAAGCTAAGCCTCCCTGCAGCCCTATGAGCCTTACATATCAGGCCTAAGTCTGGTGGAGCAAGTGGCTCTCCCTGATGACAGCAGGGTCCAAGTGATGAAGACCGTGGGACAGACAGTCTTTCCACTGCGCTACAGGTAACATGTCTCCCTGCTCCTGGGTTTGCTCCTGGCCAGCCTATTGAGGACTGAGAGGAGGCTCCCCCTCACCTTGTCACCCAGGCTCAGGAACTAGGTTGGCAGTGATGACTGGGTACCTACCATCCCTGAATCCCTAAACTGGGGGAAGCATTCTGGGGCTGCTAGAACCTAATGTGTGTTGTTTCCTTTTAACAATGCCTCCTGGGATGCCTAAGAATAATGATAATAATAATAGGAGGAGTTGTTGTTGTTAAGTGCCATTGAGTTGGTTCTGACTCAGAGACCCTGTGTAAAATTTCTGAGGAGTGGTTGCTGGGTTTGAACCGCTGACCTGGCAGGCCAGTGCTTATTATACGGTGCCACATAAGGAGTGGTCATAATGACACATTAATAATAATAGCTAACACTATTCAGTATTTACTATGTGCCAGGCCCTGTCCTAAGGAGCTCTGGTAGTGTAATGGTTATGAATTGGTCTGCTAGCCTCAAGGTTAGCAGTTCGAAACTACCAGCTGTTTTGCAGGAGAAAGATGAGGAGTTCTGCCCCCGTAAAGATTTACAGCCTGGGAAATCCTGTACGGGGTTGCTATGAGTTGGAACCAACTCCACAGCACACAGCCACCACCACCAGGCCCTGTCCTAAGCACTTTTGAGGTATCAAACCAATTTAATTCTCACAACAATCCAATGAAGATTATTAATAGCAATTATAAGAATATGTAATATATAAAAACTCCTCATTTTCTAAGATTTCTATTCATGACAAACACCACCCAGAACTCAATCCAGATATAGAAGTATTTAAAATAAAACAAACCTTCAAGACTGAAAATAGGGAACGAAATATATCAATGTATAATAAAGTCAACTACAAAGCAAAAAGACAGAATAGTGTAGATACAGAACGTCCAAATGGCAAGAGTCGGGTAAATTTCAAGATAAAGCAGACTGTCTTAAGCAGGGAAAAATTTAATAAGTTACAGGGTAACCTCAAAGAAAAATAATACACCTGCACATCAAAATAAAAAAGAGGAAAACCAGAAAAATTTAGTAAACATTAACACAACAGAAATGAAAATTAAAAGAAAACCCATAAACAAAATGAACTCAACATAGAAAATTGTGTGGAACAAAGAATCCAGCAGCACCACAAAACACACACACACAGAGAAACAACAGTAAGCTCATACCTAATGATAATTACACTGAGTGTAGATAAATTACATGTACCAGTCAAGAGGCATAAAGAGCAGAGTGGATAGGAAAACAGGAACCTTCAACATGCTGTCTATAAGAGACATATCAAAAAGATGGAGACAGCCTAAATGCCCATCAACAGAAGAATGGTTAAACAAACTTTGGTACATACACACAATGGAATACTAACAAACACGGAAGAATGATGATGAATCTGTGAAAACGCATCACAGCCTGGTTAAACCTGGGGGACATTATGCTGAGTGAAATTAGTCAATCACAGAAGGACAAACATTATATGAGATCACTGTTGTTAAAAAAAAAAAAAAAGGCTTTCTTGATAAAACAAACAATCTATGATGGTTAAGGAGGCGAGGGAAGGGAAATTATTCACGGGCTAGAGGGTAGACACATGTTACCATGGGTGGCAGCGTAGGCAATATACAAGTGGGAGGTTGGCAGAGGAAAGATGAAGGTATCGGGAGACATAGGAAGGAATGCAATAGTTAATGTGAATAGAGGTAAATGCTAACTGTTGATACATGGAGGGGACTGCAATCACGTAGTGAAACAAAGTAGATGGTTTGTTGAACCTAAAACTCAGGATCTGCTCCATAAACTCAATTAACAATAAAAAGTAAAAAAAAATTAAATAATGAAAGAATGTCATTTTGACAGGCAAGAAGCCCAAATCATGGTGAAGTTAGGTGATTGGCTCAAAGCCATGGATTTAATCTGAGGCAGAGCTGGGGTTCTAGCTCCACTGTGATCTGTCTGTTTCCACAACATTGCTGGTCTTGATAAATGGGACTTTTCACACAGACCTCAGGCTCTGTGATGCCTCCCTCAGTGCTCTGTCCACATTCATAACAGCAGCAGTCAGGGGGCTCCCATTCATTTACCCACATACTGAGTACTGGGCTGCTTCTGGGAGCACTGATGATAGACAAGGTACAGTCTGTACTTTCACAGTGCATGGTTTGGGGAAAGCAAGCAGCTATGATGTTGATAGGTGCCATCGAGTGCTATGATGTGCAGGTGTACTATTTTTCTTTGAGGTTACCCTGTAATTTATTAAATTTTTCCCTGCTTAAGACAGTCTGCTTTATCTTGAAATCTACCCAACTTCCTTGCCATTTGGACGTTCTGTATCTACACTATTTCATCTTTTTGCTTTGTAGTTGACTTCATTATACATTGATATCTTTGGTTCCCTATTTTCAGTCTTGAAAGTTTGTTTTCCTTTAAATACTTCAATATCTGGATTGAGTTCTGGGTGGTGTTGTCATGAATGGTAACCTCAGAAAATGACCCTATGCACAGCAGAATGACACACTGTCTGGTCGTGTGCCAACCTCACACTACTGCTGCCACTGTGCCAATCCATCTTATTGGAGGTCTTCCTCTTTTTCTCCGACCCTCCACTCTACCAAACATGATATCCTCGAGGAGCTGTCCCTACCGACAATATGTCTGAAGTATGAGAGACGAAGTCTGGCCATCCATAACTCAAATGCATAAATTCTTCTACGGTCTTCCTTATTCACTGCCCAACTTTCACATGCATATAAGGTTACTGAAAATACCACAGCTTGAACCAGGCATACCTTAGTCCTCAAACTGACATCTTTGCTCTTGAACACTTTAAAGAGGTCTTGTGCAGCAGATTTGTCTAATGCAATCCATCATTTGATTTCTTGACTGCTGCTTCCATGACTATTGATGGTTGTTCCAAGCAAAATGAAGTTTTTGACAACGTCAATCTTTTCGTCATTTATCTTGATATCATTTATTGGCCCAGTGGTGAAGACTTTTGTTTTCTTTACATTGAGGTGTAACTCATATGGAAGGCTGTGCTCTTTGATCTTCATCTGTAAGTATTTTAAATCCTCTTCTCTTTCAGCAAGCAAGGTGGTATCATCTGCACATTGCATGTTGTTAATGAGTCTTCCTCTAATCCTGATGCCATGTTTTTCTTCATATAATCCAGCTTTTCAGATTATTTGCTCAGCATACAGATTAAATGAATATGGTGAAAGAATACAACACTGGCACACACCTTTTCTAATTTTACACCATTTGGTGTTACCTTGTTTTGTTTGAACAGCTGCCTCTTGGTCTATGTACAGGTTCCTTGTGAGCACAATTAGGTGTTCCAGAAAACTCATTCTCTACAATCTTGTCCATAGCTTGTCATGATCCACACAATTGAAAGCCTCTGCATAGTCAATAAAAAACAGGTAAACATCTTTCTGGTATTCTCTGCTTTCAGCCAAGATCCACCTGATGTCAGCAATGATATCTTCATTCCACATTCTCATCTTGAACCTCTAGCAGTTCTTGGATAATGTACATTTGCAGCTGTTTTTGAATTATCCTCAGTAAAATTTTACTTGCATGAGATATTAATGATATTGTCCTATGTCACTAATATCTCATGCAAATAAAATTGTGCATAGTTTTGGGGAAGCAGGTAGCTATAATGGCTCCAATGAGGGGAGGAGCCGAGGGACTACATGTGAAGGGGTGGGGAAGGCTTCTTTGAGGTCACTTCTAGCTGAGGACTGACCAGAAGAAGCCAGACAAGAATGTAAAGGGCGTTGAAGACACAGCCTCAAGTACAGAGAGGTCAGAAGGTGTCTGGAGTGTGGTCTGACAACAGAAAGCTCAGTGTTGGGGGAACCGGGGGTGAAGGAGGCAGAGGCTAGGATGTGAAGAGTCTCATGAGTTATTCTCTGGAGCCTGGACTGAAGCAGGGCAGAAGCAAGGAGTGATCACTGGGTCTGACAGATCTCTCCAGTTGCTGGGTAGAAGTGGGAGGTGGGAAGGGAAGCAGAGCTGGAGGCAGGAACCATTTCTGAGGAGATGGTAGAGGTCCAGGTGAGAAACAGCAGCCAAGACAAGGGGCAGCAGAGGGAGTGGAAGGAGGCGTGGCTTTGAGTGTCATCAAAAACTCCACAGGTACAAGGCAATGGGTTGGAGAGGGGAAGGTGCCAAGAATGACCAAGGTCTCAGCTTGGGAGATGGATGGATTCAGTATATCTGGTTTTACCTCCTTATTCCTTTTCCCTTTCCTGTAATAGTGGGTGGGCTCTTAGTGTTTTTGGCTAAGAGAGGATCATTAGCTGTGGGGTCTCCAATCCAACTGACTCATTTTACAGAGGGTACCTGGGGTCTAAGGTGAGAATTCCCTCCCTCGCATGACTCTCTCTCAGTTGAAGGACAGGGGACCTGAAGACCAGCATTGGATCCTCCATTCCAGTCCTGTCTCCATAAAGCCCACTCAGTGAGGAAGAACTGATGTCATGCACATAGCATATCTCAGCTCAGCATGCCTAGACCATTCCCAGGGTTTACAGGGGCAACCTAGAGTCAAGGCACCAGGCCCAGGCTTTCTTCCAGGGCACAAAGGAGGCCAAGGTTTGAGCGGGTTGGGGCTGACCGGTCCTCTCCCAACACTCGTGAGTCTCTGAATGAAGACCCTCTGGCAGGGAAAACTCACCAGCTTCTGGAAGAGGTGGCCCATGGTAACCTGGCTGTCCCACTGCTGCACCTTGGGACAGAGGTTGTCATAGAACTCCTTGTGGATCTCATAGATGTCCTGGATCTTGTAGAAAATGGTTTCGATCTGCTGGATGGTGAGCACGGGCTGGGAGGTGGTAGCTGTGGCCTTCAGGGGTTTCATGGGCTGGGTGAGGGAGAGAAAAGAAGAGTGGTGGTGAGGAGTACAGAAACCAAGGGTCCACAGATCCAGGGCAGACTGTAGCAATGACCGGCCCAGCTTGCTGCTAGCGTCATGCCTAAACAACGTCACCTGCCTTCAGGGCACCAGAAGTGTGGTTTGTACCAAGATGTTGTTACTGACAGCAGACCCCAAGAAACCCCACTCATTGCAAGGAGAGGGAGCCTGGGACAGAGCCAAGGCACACTCCTCCCACCCTCAGCTAGGCCCTACAGCACCCAGCTCCCGCCATTAATGGATTTGCTCATCAGTTTTACATTACCCATGTCTTTCTCCCACCAAAGCTTCATGTCCTGAGTCATGAGCTTCCTTCTCATACTTCATTGGAACTATAGGGCTGAGTGGGAACTCCACCCATTAGAAACTTTCTTCCAAGATACAGAGCATAGTTTTAGGACTCTAGAGTTAGAGTCTCAAAGATTCAAGACCAGTCTCAGCTTCATTGATACTCTATTTTCCTATCAATTATCACAGCGCGAGGAAGCAGGGGCACATGCGCCATGCTCCCATTGCCAACACCTGTGTCAAACATTGCTCTCCCATTACCTACACCTGTGTCAGACATGGTGACGTGATCACAACTCTACCACTGAGCCTGGCTATAGTCTCACTCTCTTCCTCAATGTCAGGCAGTTATTCTGTCAGGCCTGCTTGTCTACCTCAGTAAGTTCCAGGGCCTACATGTGGAAAGCGGGAGGTAACATCAGTAACTCAGGAGTGCTACCCACTTCCTACCCACACTGGCTGGGAGCTGGAGCCATCAGTAGGACGAGGGTAATGAAGCAGGGGTGCCTTTCCTTCAGCTACTTTTCTGTATTTTCTAAATCATCTGCAATGAGTAAACATGAAGTTTTATAATCAGAAAATAATGCTATTATAAATTTATAGTGGAAACAAACCAGTGGACACTAATATGATACTGATATTTCTCCCTTGGTTGACATAAAAGCTCCCAAAGTCTCCCAATCCATCACTTGAAAGGCCCTCCGAGAGACAGGTTTTGGAAACCTGCCTCACAGAGGAGGAGTGAGGGGAGAGTGTGTTTATCTGGAAGACAGAGACCTGAGTCAGCTCTGGTGATATTCTCCATCTATCTGAAGGGCTGTGTGGAAAGAGGCCAGAGACTTAATCCAAGTTACTCTGGAGACTCAGGAGGAGTGGGGAGAAGTTTTGAAGGCAGATAGGGACACACTAGTGCTCTCCATCTCTTTTCTCTGGGAATTAGATAGGGAGCTTTCTGATAAAATAAACATGCTAGCAGAAAACAGGCAACTCAGCTGGAAATGCTGGGCTAGAGGGAAGACCTAAACTGAGGGCAACCAAAGCTGTCGCTGGCTCCCTCTGGAAAGTGAGCACCAGGCTTGAGCCAACTATGGCAGCCTAGCTCCCAGCCAAGCTCCATTCCCTCCTCCTAGCTGCTCACCCTGATGGTGGCAGTGCCCAAGTTTGTCCACAAGAAGTTCCATGTACTCAAATACCCAGACAATGTTCTGATTCCTGGTTCTCTTGTTCTCTGAGCTCTAAAATGTCCAGACAGGAATGACGAAGGCAGGAAAAGGCAGAACTTCCTTTTTACACTCTCAGCTGGAACCATTTGACCCCCAGTGCCCAGTCCTTGCTAGGAAAGCAAGATGGGGTTCAACTTGGTGCAGGCCAGGTAGCATAAGTTTGAATCCCAACTTGGCCACTTCATAACTATGGACAAGTCACCTCCCATCTCTGGGCCTTAGTGGCTTCATTTGCAAAACTGGGATAATGTTACTTTCCTTAGAGGACTACTGAGAAGGTTGAAAGTCATAATTTAAGAATTTATATAAACACCTAGTATGTGCCTGATGCCTACAAGGTAACAAAAGTTAGCTGCTACTATGATTACTATTCACTCCACAAATCTATACCAAGTGTCTAAGGTGAGGGCAGACTAGGAACATTCAGTGCTGGATAAAGACATATACATCCCTGCCCTCATGGAACTTCCATTCTAGTAAGGTTTCCCAGGCTTGGGAAGAGACAGAATTAGCAATACAAGTAAACACACAAACATAGAATTGCACAGAGTGATTAGTGCAATGAAGGAAATGAAGAAGGTGGAGCCTCCTGAGACCAGACAGTGAACAACAGTTTCTCTACAGAGCATGGGGGAAGGAAAGAGAATTCCAGGCAGATTTCTTCAATACCTGGCCCTGTGTTGGGAACTATCTTGGTGGGAGAGAGGAACCTGGTACTTGGAGAGTAACGGCAAGTGGGCATGATGTGGGAGGTAAAGGAGGTCTAAGGTAAGGCTGGCGGTGTAGGCAGAGGCCAGATTATACAGGGCCTTGAAGACCAGGAAGGAGTGCAGTATTAAATCATGATTGGTAAGGCACTGGGAGGCTTTAAGAAGGGGAGTAATGGGATCCAATTTTCTTCTCAAGATTCACAATTTCTGCTTTGGAGAATTTTGTAATGTATTCAGTAAACTGGATCAACACGAATGAGACACGCAGTGACAAACCCAGTTGCTGTAGAGTCGATTCTGACTCATGATGACCTCATCATGTGTGGCAGAGCGGACAATGCAAGACAGGATATTACCCAACAGAGACTGTAAACACCAACCACATGATCACAAGATTGTGCTGGAGCACTTATAGGGTGTCACAAAGAAGGTGACGGGAGCAAGGTCTCACAGGAAGGTGGGAAGATCTGAGCAGGTACAAGGGTTAAGCATACCATTCAGGGAAACAGAAGGAACTAGGAGCCAAAGCAGAACCCTAGATGGGTGTCCAGGCTCAGCTTCATAGGCTCCCAACACTCTGAAGGTTACAGATTCAGGATTGACATCAAAAAGTTTATCCTTTTAAAAACCTCTTCCCAGAATCCAATGGATGGGCTGAAGTCACCACAGGGTCCCAGAACCACCAATCCTTGCCCCCACTAAAGCAGGAACAAAGGGAATTGGGAAGGAACTGTCTAAGGAAGGGAAAGGGGCAGGACTTTTCCGAAGCTGCTGGAGAGACATCTATCTTCTCTGGTCTACATAAAGAAGACACAACATTCGCTTCCTCCTGAACTTCTCACTCTGTCTGCTAAAGGGGAAGAATCGGCCACTCAGCAGCAGCAGGTCACATGAATGGGGTGTGCACTGGGGCAACAGATGGTTCTCAGGACAACATCAGGGACCTTTGCTCTTAAGCCTGATTTCACCCAGGGCAAGGAGAATGGTCTGGGTGTGTGTCCTTGGTGGGTAGGTGACTCTTGAAGGCAATTATTTTTATCAGGCGACACCCTGCATCATATAGGCCTGGAGGTGAGAAGGACAGATGAAAGGCAAAAGTAACTGAATCCTGAACTTTGATACTGCGCCCAGGTGCCCTCATGCTAGTTACCTCATCCCTCCCCACAGGGATGTCTCCACTTTGCTGTATTAAGTGCCACAGAGTCAGTACTGGCTCACAGTGACCCTGTATAGGGTTTCCAAGGATAAACTGGTGGGTTTGAACCAATGACCTTGTGGTTCAAACCATCCTTGTGGTTCAGAGTGTTTTATCCTCCAGGGTTACACCCGGACTCCTTCTCTACATTTTGTTATTGTTGTTAAGTGCCTTCCAGTTGGTTCTGACTCATATAACCTACACAGGGTTTCTGAGGAGCAGCTGGTGGGTTTGAACTACTGACATTGTGGTTCTCCGTCTAGTGCTGATCCTACAACACCACACCAGTAAGTTCGCTCTCCACCTTGTTGTTATTCAGTGCCATTCCAACCCATAGCGACCCTGTATAGGGTTTCCAAGGAGCAGCTGGTGAGCTTGAACCGCTAACCTTGCGGTTCAAACCAACTTTGCAGTCTAGCGCATTAACCCACAGCACCACACCAGGACTCCCTCACTGCCTTATAAGGGGGGGGAATGAATTCTAAGAAAAGAGCTCTGAGTGACCACAGTGCCAACCTCAGCTCCCAACTTCAGGCAGTTGTTTGTGTGCTCTGTCCCGCAACAACTTGCCTGCTCACTTCCTACACCTTCTACCTGAGGGGCCTGGAGGGGTCTTCCAAAAGGTCACAGAAAAATCAAATTAAAAGATAACGGCATTTTTCCACTAACTTTTTTGAAGCCCTGCGGTGTATCAGCAAGCACAAGAAGGATGACCTCATTAATCTATTTTACAGATAAGGAACATGAGATGCAACAGGACTCCACACCCCAAAGCCAACTGTTGGAATAAAATTCAAGAGAAACGGACCAGCTGTGATCCAGGGGTGGGCAACTGTCTCACAACCAGTGCCAAAGCTAACTCTTCTTCCCCTAAATCTGGAAGATGTGGAATCACATACATTTTATTTTGTCTCTCTTCCTCCTCTGCCTCAGTCCATGCTCCCAGGCCTCCTTCATTTGTAATCTGAAGCCACCAGGATCCTAGAGGGTTCCAGAAGATTATTAACCCATGGCCCTAGCCAGCCACCCTGAGGGCTCCTGTGTGGCGTCCCTGTCAGAGCTTGTGTGTGTGTACACAGTCTTAGGTACACACCTCAAGCGTTTGCATATCAGGAAGTATAAAGCTGAGAAAATAAGTCAAAAGGGAGCTGAGCTGTGGGAATGGGGGTGGGGTGAAAATGAGATATGAGGGTGGGAGGAGGAAGCCCGCAGACAGAGAAATTTTTCTGAGCCAGCCCCTTTGTTAGATCACCCAAAGACCAGAGGGCTGAGCTTGCCTGTAGCTGAGGAGGGAGGGGAGAGAGCGCTTGATTCCTTATCTCAGTCTGTGGCAGTGGAGTGGCAGGCCCCCTCTTCCTGAGCCTCCAGCCATAGATCTGGCCTCTGAGCTGAGCTCTCCTCACTCCCCCAAGCCTCTGCTCAATCAAAAACCAACTAGGGGCCCAGGAAGAACCCCTGGGAGTAATAGCCTGCCCAGGCACCTAAAGAAAGGGGGCTCCAGTCTCATGGTCTTTGTTTAGGGGCATGAACCCT